AATAGAGAATAGGACCCGCATATATTTAAATCATATGTAATTTGTACGATTTTGTGTTTATAAAAATATAACACAATTTTTTTGTCTACAGATTTTTGGCACGCCCAATGGGACAACTCTACCTTTCATCTCTCTTTCCGTCGAATTCTCAAACGATCCATGGCTTCCTACAAGATCAAGACTTCCAACGTTGTGTCAAAAGCTGCCGCTCTAGCCGCCACCGCCAAAGGAGTCGCTGCTACTACATCAAGAACCTCAAGTGCTTCAACGAATGCTGGAGTGATGACACGAAGCATGGCTAAAAGAGTACTGTCATTTTCCGAGGATGCACATCCGAAAATCATAGAGCAAAGCTCATTCTGTGAGGAGGACGAAAGCTTCAAGAGTACCTCCGCACCGGGCACCCCTCAAGAAGTTGCAACTCGTTCGACTGCATCGAGTTATGCCCCGGTGATGACAACAAATGCTTCAAACATAGAAGACCAACTTATTGCACTGGCCAAAGTTGTTGAAGGGATGTCTCAACACATGCAGCAACAAGACAATGTCATCGCAAAACTGTTTGCAAAATTAGACAAGCCGGAACCAACCAACCAGAATGCTTCAGAAGCCCAAAATGAAGCAGAAACATCCATGGATCAACGCCACGGTAAAAAAAAAATGGCGGGACCAATGCCGTTCAAGCATCATCTGACTCTTTCATCCATCTATCCCAACTTGACGAGTATATCAAAGGAGCTCTCAAAAGGGAGTTTGAAGGAAGTTCAAGGCCAACAAATTTGTATGCCAAGCCTTACACTTCAAGGATCGACGCCCTCAAGATGCCGTTGGGATATCAACCGCCGAAGTTCCAACAATTTGATGGCAAAGGCAACCCAAAGCAGCATATGACACACTTCATGGAAACATGCAACAACGCTGCGACGTACGACGATCTCTTGGTGAAGAAGTTCGTACGGTCATTAAAAGACAACGCCTTCGACTGGTACATCGACCTGGACGCTGGTTCCATTGACAGTTGGGAGCAGTTGGAGTACGAGTTCTTGAACCGGTTCTACAGCACGAAAAGGACCGTCAGTATGACAGAACTCACCAATACTCGTCAATGGAAAGATGAACCAGCAATCGACTACATCAACCGCTTGAGGAGTCTGAGCTTGAACTGCAAAGACCGGTTGTCTGAGGCCTCTGGTATAGAGATGTGCGTCCAAGGAATGCACTGGGGGTTGAAATACATCCTGCAAGGGATCCGACCCCACACTTTCGAAGAACTTGCTACCCGCGCTCATGACATGGAGTTAAGTATGGCTCAAGCGGGATGCACAGACCACTAGTTCAAGAATCTTCAAAAGCAAAAAGATACGAAAGATATGATGCCGCAAAGAAGGGGAACAACGCCCCTATCAAGTTTTTCGGAAAAGAAACCTTGGCCATAAAAGCGACGACCAAAGCACCAGTGAAGATCCAAAGTAAAGAAAAGGAAGTTGCAAGGAATAGACAGTCAACTCAGACAGAAAGACCGCCAAGGCCAACCCTTAAAGAGTTGCAATCCAAAACTTATCCTTTCCTGGATTCTGACGTCTCGGGCATCTTTGACGATCTACTCAGAGAAAACCTCATTGAACTTCCGAATTCAAAAAGACCGGACGAAGCTGGAAAGGTTGATGACCCAAGATACTGCAAATACCATCGTGTCGTAGGACATCCCATCCATAACTGTTTCGTCCTTAAAGACAAAGTCATGGAGTTGGCTCATGAACGAAAGATCACCCTTGAAGACGATTCTGTTTCTGTTAATGTCACTTCAATCATGTTCGGGTCTCTCGAAGTTGACATAAAAGACAAAGAATCATATTGCCTCACTACCGAGAAAGATGGCAAGACGATCAGAGACAAATCGAGTGAAGAATGTGCCACGATAACTTTCACTGATGAAGATTTGATGTTAGGATCCAAACCCCATAATCGTCCATTACTGGTCGTGGGTTATATCCATGAACAAACGATTAGCCGGATATTTTTAGACAGAGGAGCCATAGACAATGTCCTTCCTCTATATACATTGCAGAAATTGGGAATACCAGTAGATCAGTTGTTCGAGAGTCGTATGACAATACATGGATACAATCAAGAGGGGCAAAGAGCACTTGGCACCATAAGATTGAGACTGTCAATCGATGAAATGGAAACTAACCCTTTGTTCTACGTGAAAGATGCGAAGACATCTTTCGACGTTCTTTTGGGAAGACCATGGATACACGAGAATGGTGTAGTTCCATCAATGTGGCACCAGTGCTTCAAATACACTCAAAATGGAGCGACAAAGAAAGTTCTCGGAGACACAAAGTCATATGCAGAAGCCGAGTCACACTTTGCGGACGCCAAATATTTCTCTACAGAAGCAAAAAAATCCAAGGTACATGAAAATGTCAAAGCACCACAACCAAACTTGGCGGCAAAGTCAAGAGATAAAGAAAAAACACCTGCCTCAGGTTCTGCAGACTCATTAATTGAGCCTCTGAAAGATTTGACTCTTCCGAAGACCCCACTCAATCCAATCTCCCCCTTACAGACAAGGAACGGAAAAGAAGAAAAAATAGAGGCTATGCGATTGCAAAAGGACAAAAGCTTTGGCCCAAAAGCCTACAAACTTCTCACAAAAGTTGGATATAATCCAAATGAGGAGTCACTGCTGGAAAAGTTACCACCACAGACAACCCTAGGTTCGAGGGCTGGTCTTGGATACATGCCACAAGCTCCCGTACGCATCGCTATCAAAAGGGCTGCAAATCATCATATCACCGAAAGCGAGACTTTGTCTTCCAATTTACCTCAAAAGGGGAAGAATGCAAGAGTATCGGTTTTCGAGAGGCTAAAACCTTCTGTCTTCACAAGGTTAGGACCAAAAATCAATAAAGAGAAAAACAAGACGAATTCCACATCAACAAAATATGTGGAGATCAATGAAGAAATCAAGAGCCGCTTTCCATCCCGCATGACGCGTCAAACAAAAATGACGATACATTGCGGTAAAGTTTTAAAGGCTAAATGGCAAACCGTTGTCTTCACCAAACCCAAAGAAGATAACGAAGAAAGTGTTGCATCATCCTGCTACATCACTGAAGGGGGAGAAGAGACAATGATTGAAGAAGATGGAGGAAATGCACCCGCCGCGCTTCAAGAAGGGGTCAAAGCTGCAGTGGACGAGTTAGAAGAAATCAACTTGGGAAGTGAAGATCACCTAAGACCCGTCTATGTCAGCAAAGAGCTGGGTGAGGATGATATGAATGCCTACACCCCAACTTCTCAACGAATTCCAAGATGTCTTCGCTTGGTCATATAAAGAAATGCCCGGCTTAGACCCGAAAGTTGCGGTCCACCATCTAGGTGTGAGGAAGGGAGCTCGCTCTGTAAAGCAAGCGCAACGAAGATTCCGTCCTGAACTCATCCCTCAAATTGAAAATGAAGTCAACAAACTCATTGAAGTGGGGTTCATCCGGGAAGTCAAATACCCCTAATGGATTTCCAACATCGTGCCTGTAAAGAAGAAGAATGGACAAATCCGAGTTTCTGTGGATTTCCGGGACTTAAACGAAGCATGCCCAAAAGATGATTTTCCTTTACCCATAACTGAATTGACGATTGATGCAACGACAGGACATGATGCACTTTCTTTTATGGATGGATCATCTGGATATAACCAAATTCGTATGGCACCTGAAGACGAAGAGTTAACCACCTTTCATACACCGAAAGGTATCTACTGTTACAAAGTTATGCCTTTCGGATTGAAAATGCTGGGGCAACCTACCAAAGAGCAATGCAAAATATTTTTGATGACATGCTATACAAAAATGTAGAGTGCTATGTTGATGACTTGGTTGTCAAATCCAAGAGAAAAGAAGATCACCTGCAAGACTTAAGAAATGTTTTTGAAAGGTTGAGGCGCTACCAATTAAAAATGAATCCTCTCAAGTGCGCTTTTGAAGTCACCTCCGGAAAATTCCTCGGATTCATTGTCCATAGTCGTGGAATTGAGATTGAACAGGCAAAGATAGATGCCATCACAAAAATGCCTGAGCCTCGTAACATCCACGAGCTAAAAAGCTTACAAGGGAAATTAGCATATATAAGAAGATTTATCTCTAACCTCGCTGGACGATGCCAACCTTTCAGCCGAATCATGAAGAAGGGAGTGCCTTTCCATTGGAATGAAGCATGCAAGAAGGCATTCCAAAGTATCAAAGACTACTTGACAAAGCCACCAGTGCTAACAGCCCCAATTCCTGGACATCCGTTGACGCTTTACATCACTGCACAAGAACGTTCAGTTGGAGGCTTGTTAGCACAGGAAGCCAATAAAAGGAAAGAAAATGCCCTCTACTACCTCAGTAGAATGATGACACCAAATGAACTAAATTATTCACCGGTGGAAAAGATATGCTTGGCGCTCATCTTCGCCATAAAAAAGTTGAAGCATTACTTCCAAGCGCACACTATCCGGTTGGTGTCCAAAGCAAATCCCTTAAAATATGTCATGTCAAAGCCTGTCCATTCTGATCGACTCGCGAGGTGGTACCTGCAGCTGCAACAATTTGAAATCATTTATGTACCACAGAAAGCTGTAAAAGGACAAATATTGGCTGACTTCCTTGTTGATCATCCCATCCCCTCTGAGTGGCAGTTGTCTGACGACTTCCCTGATGAAGACGCGTTTTTTCCTCGAAATCACCCCACCATGGAAAATGTATTTTGACGGCTCATCACACAAAAATGAAGCTGGAGCCGGAGTAATATTTGTCACATCACAAGGAGAAGTCCTTCCTTACTCTTTTGCCTTAAAAGAGAAGTGTTCAAATAATGTGGATGAGTATCAAGCACTCATCCTCGGCCTAAAAATGGCGGTAGACATCAAGCAACTCCAACTTCAAGTATAAGGGGACTTCAAGTTGGTTATAAATCAAATCACTGGAGAGTTTGAAGTGAAGAAACCAGAACTAATGCCTTACTTAAAGTATGCTAAGACACTCATTGAGTTGCTCGGGGATGTCTCTATTCAATATGTCCCAAGGAAAGAGAATGGGCAAGCTGACGCTCTGGCTAAACTGGCATCGACTCTATCCATCCCCGATCAACAGGTGTATATTCCGATACGCAAAGTTTGGATGGATTCCTGCAAGTATGAAGAAGAAGAATGTGTTGAAAAAGAGGTAAATCACCTCATCGAGGTGTTTGAAATTGAAGAAGAAGATTGGCGGCAACCAATATTAGATTTCTTAAAATATGACAAGCTCCCGAGTGACCCGCGCAGACGAGCAGATATCCGAAGAAGAGCTTCACGCTATGCCTACTTCAACGGCATACTCTATCGTCGGTTGTTCGACAACATGTTCCTTCGATGCCTCAGCAATCATCAAGCCAAACAAGCTATGGAGGAAACTCATGCCGGAATCTGTGGAGCTCATCAAGCTGGCCCAAAGTTACACTTCCGAATAAAGAGGATGGGGTATTATTGGCCAACCATGGTTAAAGACTGTATAGAGTTTGCACGGAGATGCCAACCGTGTCAATTTCATGCTAACTTTATCAATCAACCACCGGAACCATTGCACCCAACTATTGCTTCGTGGCCATTCGATACCTGGGGCATGGACGTCGTAGGACCACTCACAAAGTCGTCTGCTGGACATCTCTATATCTTGGCCGCAACTGACTACTTCTCCAAATAGGCAGAAGCAGTTCATTTGAAAGAAGTTAAAAAGGAGACGGTAGCTGACTTCATACGAGTCAACATCATTTACCGTTATGGGGTTCCTCGGTGTATCATCACTGATAATGGAAGATCTTTTGCCAATACTCACATCGACAAGCTTTGTGAAAAGTTTGGCTTCCAACAAAAGAAGTCCTCGATGTATTATGCACTGGCAAATGAACTCACAGAGGCATTCAATAAAACACTTTGTAACTTGCTAAAAAAGGTTGTCTCCAAATCAAAAAGAGATTGGCATGACCGCATTGGTGAAGCTTTGTGGGCCTATCGTACTACATTCCGCACTCCAACACAAGCGACACCATACTCACTTGTATATGGGGTTGAAGCTGTCCTCCCATTGGAAAGACAAATTCCTTCACTAAGGATTGCTCTTCAGAAAGAATTGACGACCGAAGAAAATGTCAGATTAAGACTCGAAGAGCTAGAGGCTCTCGACGAGAAAAGACTACAAGCTCAACAAAGACTGGAGTGTTATCAAGCACGATTATCTTGAGCTTACAATAAAAAAGTCAAATCACGATCCTTTCAAATCGGGGACTTGGTTCTTGCTGTTAGAAGGCCCATTGTGATCAACTTTCGTTCGGGAAATAAATTTTTATCCAAGTGGGATGGACCCTACGTCATCACTCAGGTCTACACAAATGGTGCATACAAGTTGACATCTCAAGACGGACTCCGGATAGGGCCAATCAATGGGAGGTTCCTCAAAAGATATTATACGTGAGACCTTCAAATCAAATCAAGACTCCTTAGCATGAGAATAAACTGCGAAATAATAATAAAATCAAATTCAAGTTGCTTTGAACTACGTTATGACTCGATCCCTTTACTGGGTACGTATGCAACTTGAGATATACCTTCAAGTTCAGTCAAATAAATAAATAAAAAAATAATAATAAAGGATTTGGGTAAAAAAAAATGCCCGAGAAAAAAATAATAAAAAAAAGAAGAGAGAATTTAAATTTATTGATTGGCAATCAAAATGAAGAGTACATTCTCTGCGGCGGCGAGTTCATCCTTGACTTCAGCAATTTGAATGGTGATATTCTCATTAACTCCTTGACGTCTCTTAATAAGGGAAATATTCTCTTTTTTTTGCTCTTGTAAAGAGCAAAGCTTCACGTCAATATTCTTCACACACCCCTCTAACTCCTTGATAGCTTCGCACTCCTCAACATGCCTCGTCTCAAGGTGCGACAAGCGATCATTGATCTCGGAAATCTGTTGGTTACGAGCCGCCAAGGATACAGCGTCGATCGAGTCAGAACATGCCTCATCAAAAGATGCAGCGTCATCAAAAAGGGCCTTGACTCGGTCCTCAATATGAGAAATGTCAGAATACTGAAAGCTTTTCATTGATTGGAGCACTACGTCAACCTCGTCCATAATCGAGGAAAGCAAACGAGCTGGTGTCCTCAAAAGCTTACCCCGAAGATCCGACCATACTTTTCCTATATATTCGCGTTGGATCCCTTTCACAAATCCGCACCATAGAATTCTGAAACCGCGGGCACAGCGGAATGAACAACTATGGGCTTGGTTGGAGCATCCTTTACTTGCTCATTGCAAACACCTCTGCTTTCCCCAATCATCTCAACAATGGAATCTCGGCTCGCCATCTTTTCATCCATACTCGGGATTCTTTGCTCCAACTGAAAAAAGTGATAAAAAAATAAATCATGTCAAAAAAAGAAAAAAAAAAGAGAGAAAAAAAAGAGATAGAAGTTACCTCTCTCGCGAAATCGCTCGAAGAATGGTGTCGGCTCGAACGAGGACTTAACGGGTTGATGATATGGGGATCTCGACGAGCTTGCTTCCAATGAACATCATGCTCACTACTGCTTCATTCAGAGACAAAAGGTACCGCCCGCTTTGAAGAACCGACATTGGGAGTACTTGAATTTCCATTGTTCCTCTCAGGAACACCCGGGATAAGTAGCGGCATTTTTCGAGCTTTATCCAATGGCTTGGTATGATCGGTGGTCTTTTGTACCGGCGGGATATACTCATCCAAGAAAGACCCGCAAACTTGAGTCCACCACTTCTTGTATACGTCGGAAGAAAATCCCCTCGGAATCGCAGGAATGCGTGGAAGAATAACTTCGGCTGAAGATTTCAAGTAAGTGGATTGGTGCCAATGTTGATAGCCTTCCACAAAAGCGCAGCAACGGACGCCTTTCAAAAGAACTCCGGGAATCTTTTGGAAAAAACCAAATTGACGGAAAAAACGGTGGGGACTATACGGCTCCATGAAGCATCGAAATCCATCCCGTAAAGTCAGAAAACAAGAGCGAATGGAGATGAAGTATTCTTGCTCGTAGTCTTTGCGCTTCCCGTCATCAACAAACCGTACGTCGAAGTCTTTCGTGATCATGGTGCAAGCCCAACGAAAGTAGTCACACCGCAAGATTTTTTGGCATGCAATATCTGCTCTATACGCACGAGCACTAATAGCCCCGGAGTGCTTCACCATCCCCGGACCACGGATTCCCTTCCATACGCCGTAATGGGTCTAAAAATACTCAGCGATCCATCCGGTCAAAAAGTGGAGAGGAATTGTCAACCGAACTTTCCCAGGACATGATGAATCCGCGATCTGGTTCAGCCCTCTATAAATACTGGTTAAGACTGGAATGGCCAAGCTTACTGAAAATCCCGACGCTAGGACACTTGCCATCTTGAAAGTTGAAGGACGTATCAAACCAACATCGTCGAGTGGAAGCACAAAGATGCAAAGCCAACAAGAAAGGAACGCTGCGAGAAAAATCTCCTCAAGGTGCTTCCGTCCAACTTTGCGTTTGGCAAAAGATGACTCTTGCGCCTTCGACCATGGCTCGTGGGCACCAATCTCTCCGGTAGGATTGTAAGTCGTGTCAGGCCGAGAAGAACGAGTAGACTCCTTGCCACGACGAATTTGAGGACGCTCGTATTTGACGGTCTTTTTGCACCAAAAAGAAATCCATTCGGTTGCGCTAACGCCACGTCGACCTTTGTCACGACTCCGAAGAAGGTGATAGGCATGCAACAAGTACCGGCACGAACGGGGAACCAGCTTCCTATCCTCTTTACTGCCGCATAGCTCCTTTGCGCTTGGTACCACCTCTTCGTAAAATGAGCCGTGTATAGGGAGGCCCGCCAAGTCACGGAGAGAGATCGATACTTCATCGGCGGCAATCAAAAGGGTGTTGGTTTTGGGACACCACGCCTCGCAAACGGCCTTCACGATCTCCGGAGAATAGTCGTAGGAGAACAAGGAAGCATAGACCGCATCGTAAATGCATCCTCTCTTTAGTTGAATCTCGCATCGATCCAGCACATCCTCCGCCCATTCCCAATAGCCGGCCACGTACGAGAAGTTGCCATCAAATGAAGGAAGACCATTCCAAACGCACGCTCCCTCCATGATCCGCCGCCCCAAGGTTGGAAGTGGAAGAACATCGCTTGGCATGTGTTGATGGAGTGAGGATTGCAAAGTATGCTTTCCGCCAGCGACATTCCGAGACCACGTCTTTGGGAAATTTGGGACCTCCAAGCAAGGGCGAGCAGCTCCGCGTCCTATGAGTGGTGGATGCACCAATAGACGAGTCGCCTTGTCCAGCGGTTGACCTTTAAACTCGCAAATCACCAACTCGGCATTTCCAGAGGGGGAGGAGACATCCTTGAAGTAAGTCATCTCGCCTACAAAAAAAAAAAAAAAAACATAAGCAAAGATCAAAAGATGAAAAAAAAAAAAAGAACAACACAAGAGAAAGAAGCCTACCCTAGAATGAGAGAAATCAAAGTTGTGATAAGTTGAGAATGATAAAGTTCTCTCATGGTGAGGGGTTTATATAGTGTCTAAAAATTGAGACATAGAAAGACAGGCATAATGGAAGGAAGAAGATAAAGAAATAAAAAAAAAGGGAAGGAAGAAGATAAGGAAATAAAAAAAAAAGGGGAAGGAAGATAAAAATAAAAACAAAGAATAAGGAAATAATATATATATATATATGATATGTGTATATATATATAAAAAAAATATTGGCAAAAACGCCATTTAAAAAAATGGCAAAGACGCCATTTATAAAAAAAAAAAGAATTTTGCAAAGAAAAAAAAAAGAAAGAAAAAAAGAATTTTGCAAAAAAAAGTACCAATTTTGCATAAAAAAATGGCAAAAACGCCATTTAGGAAAAAAAAAAAAAGAATTTTGCAAAAAAAAAATGCCAATTTTGCATAAAAAATGGCAAAAACGCCATTTACAAAAAAGAAAAAATTGCAAAAAAATGCAAACTTTGCAAAAAAAAAAAAAGGCAAAAAAAAGCCATTAAAAAAAAAGAAAAAAAAAGAAATTGTTTTTCTATGTTTCGAGACTCGTTCACGCCTTAAACATTTTGCGTCGGCTTAAACAAGTCTCGAGAGGGCATTTTGTAGGCATGAAAAATTAAATGTCTAAATTAAATTAAATATCATGTATTTTGGAAGAAAATAAAATTCCAATAATATAAATATATGGTATTTAATTATGCACATATGTAAATTTTTGTATAATAAATATCAACCATTAATGCAAAAATCTGCTTAAAGTGGAATATATCATACAAATATTATGTGCATAGAGCCATAATAAATTTGGCAGCAAAATAAATTAATCTTGTCAATAAATGAAGTATATAAATTAATATCTTCCAAATTAGGCAATGATATAAAGATCTTGTCAATAAATGAAGTATATAAATTAATATCTTCTAAAAAAACAATAATATAAAGATTTTGGTGAGAAAGGAAGGTGTATAATCAAATCCGTGGAAAACAACATCTAGTAGAAAAGGAAAGGTTATAAAATCTTTCCATCCATGTGGCACCATCCGAAAAGGAAGCCAAGGCCACCCTCCCCTTCCCTCCACGGCTGTCATCAGCCAAATGGCCGTAGCGCAATCGATGGAATTTATGTTTAATCATCTTCTTCCTTTTGTAAACTTTGACCGAAATATAGCCTTGGCTCCAGCCCGAAGATATGCCAATAATCTCCTGGGCTATAGACCGAATGAAGGGCGAAATGGTACGGAAGACGCAGAGGCCTAGAGCCCCAAAGTGCCAGCCTTCAAAGCATACAACAGTCCTAAATATGGATTGCATCATTGCTTATACATTTCAATATATGAGTTGTACTTAATTTGAGTAATACATACTAATTATGTATCATTTAATTGGTCTCACTTTGTTAGTTTTTATATAAATTTTATTTAAAAATAAAGTAATAAGAAATCTGCTGTAATAAAAGAAAATATAATCATATGAGCGTGTAGACTCGAACTTATGATTATTCAATTTAAGTACGTGTTAAAATTGGTTATAATTTTCTGACTTTCAACAAAATTTACAAATTTCACAATAATCATATGAGCGTAGCTGTAATTCCGTTCCTAATTCCGTCTCTACTGTCATTAGTAACGGAAAAAGTAGATTTAGAGAAAAAAAAATTTTGTTACAAAAATGATTTTTTCTTGTAGTGTAATATCTAATTATATATATTTCTTATTTGGTAAAAAATGATCTGCCCGTGCGCGCACACACACAAACCAGTTATTGTTTAACTATAAAATTCATGGGCTTTAAAAAGATAATAAAATTAGAAATAAATCCGAAAACAAAAGAACACTCGGACAAGATTCGGTGTTAATACGACCCAATGTCATTTTTTTGGTCAAGTTTTGGACAAAAAAGGAAAAAAAATGTTGTTTTAGACTGTCCTAGCCACTCTCCCATCCACTCCGTCCTCACACAAAAAAGCCTCTGAAGAACCGTCATTCAAATCAACATGTTGTCAAAGGAAGATACGCGGGCAGGTGTAGAGAGGTTGTATGCATATATATATATATATATATATGTATCTATCTACCTTTCAACTTGGATGAACTTTTTCCAGCTCGTCATTTTTTATTTTTTTTTTCGAATATGAATGAATATTAATTTATTCATCTTTAGTGTAGCTTAATTTCTTGAGGCTATCTGGTAGCTTGGGTTCTTCTTATTTGATTTGGCTAATCTAAGCAGGTAAACATATCTGTTCCTTTTTGTTTAATCTCTAGATTTCCACCGATTAAAACGAGGGTTTCAATAGATGTAATCCATATTTATTTATATATTTTTTTAAAAAAAAAAACTTATCTTCCTTTACTTGATATTATTATTTTTTTTTAATTTTTTTTTTCTCAGTATGTGATAGTTTGACAAATTAGTTTTTACACTTCTTCCAACATTACTAAAGTTATTTCTACAACAATTATCAAGTTCGATTTTTAACCTAAGGATACTTACACTATCGATTGATACCCTAGATATGATCCCAACATCTGTTGTTAGTCGCACTTGTCCATTATTGTGTATTATTTAAATGCACGATATTAATTTTATTTACGTTCCTATCTAATAGAATCTTTTATATGCTACATACGAATTCTTTGCACTACAAAAAAAAAAAAAATGGAAATTGCAATGGAATATTGCTACCGAATACAATCTATTGCAAAATTGCAACGGAACTTGCTAGGCAACAAAGAAATAGTCTCAATTGCGATATGTTGTGAGAGAATACTGCAATAGAATAAATTTGTCACAAATATTTTTGAAATTACACAAAGAATATAATATTCCGTTGCAAAATTGCGACGGAAATAGCAACATATTAAATTTGTTGCAGATTTTCCAAAAATTATGCAACAAATAAAATATTCCGTTGCAAAATTACAATGGAAATAATACATTAAATCTGTTGCAGATTTTCCAAAAATTATGTAACAAATATAATATTCTGTTTCAAAATTGCGACAGAAATAATAACAAATTAAATTTGTTGCAGAGTTCAAATAAAAAAAAATTAATTTTTAATTTTATAAATAATTTAATAATTATTATTTTTTAAATTTTTAATTTAATTTTTAAAATTATTATTTTAAAAATTTTTAATTTATTTTTTAAAATTTTAATTTTTAATAATTAATTTTATTTATTTATTAAATAATTTTAATTTTTAATTTTTTTTATATATTTTTATTAATTTTGATTTTTAACAAATCTGCCCTAATTCTCACTCAGCGATACTCACTCCCTAATTCTCACTCGACGCTACTCACTCGCAAACAAGCTTAGACTTGCCCAAACGGTTCAAACCGTCGGTTACGATTACAAACCGCCGGTTACGGTTTGTCTTAAATCGAAACCGAACCTTTCGAATGACAATTTCGATTACGGTTTGAACTGCCGGTTTATATATACTTATTTTTAATAATTTTTTTTTATTTTCTATTTTTCTAAAAATTTGAATTTTATTTAAAAATAATTAAGTTTTATTTTAATTTTATTTATATATATTTATTATTTATTTATTATATAAAAATCATATATATAAATAATTAATTAAATTGTTACAATATAAAAATAATTAAAATAACAAATATAGTAAATAATTAAATTATAAAAATATTGTAATGCATAATAAAATAATTTAAATTATATAATAAAAGAATTATAAAATAAAAAAAAATATTAATAGTATTATTATTTTTTAATATTATTAATAATTATTTATATTTATTAATATTATTAATGTTGTATTTTAAATTTTAATGATAAATATAATGATATTATTATAAAATATACACAATTTAATCCTAATGTCTAATCAATACTACCCATCCACATCCACAGTCCACTAACGCCGCAGCCGCCCTCGCACACAAGTTCTTCTCTTCCTTGGCGCCTGCACCCGCATACACAAGTTCTCCCTCTTCCTTCCTTCTTCCTCCCATTTCTTTCCTTTCTCCTCCTTTCATCCTTTTTTCTTCTTCTTCTTCTGCTCCGCGCCTGCCTGCCCCTGCCATGGTGAGAGATTAAAAAAAAAAAAAAAGCTTTGTTTTTGTATGTATGTATATGAATAATTTTGTTTTTGAAAACTAATGATTGCGCTTGTTGATTAATCTTTATGTCATTGTTGTTCAGCTCCCGATGGAATGTGAGTCGACATCTATGTGGGAGTTAAGCTTTGTTGTATCATCTAACCATGGTAAACATCTCTGATTTTAGGTTACTTCATCTCCATTTTAAGGTAAGGTTCAGTGCTATCATTTCTCAAACAATATTATGTTTGTGCCTCTACATACGCTTTATCGTTTATTGGAAACAGCATAGATTGAAAGAAGTGCTAAATGGGTCATATACCGTGATTGTGCCACTTTTCTAGTGATTTACTAAGATTATATTTGTAAATTCGTGTTTCTGAAATGTGTAAGCTAATGATTGATCCGTTTTTTTCCTGTCTATTTCATTCATTTCCGAAACAGAGACATTGGATTTTAAGTTTTTGTTGAAACCAAAGTGTAGTAATGTCCCTTGCGTTGTGGAGGAGGGTCTGAACCGGTAACTTACTGGGGGTACCTTAAGGGGGGACAGAGGGATGGTTGTATTTAATTTGAGTGGTGACGAGATTCTTGAGTACAAAGTATGGATTAAAGCGGATAGGGTTTCGCCATTTGATCTTGCTGCAAGTTGGAGAGCACATCAGGAGAATTTCCAGCCTTCCTCTGTTCATGGAATACCAGATATCAATATAATTTCTGCTGCTGAAAGTAATGTGGTAGGTGCATTTGAAAAAGATATAGTTCTCAAATTCTTGATTTGCTCCCTTGTCAAATTTATGGCATTGAAATGATCTCTCACATTATAATGTGATATTGCAATTCTTCAATGTTATTTTGCAACTTTCATTATTTCTTTTTATGGAGTTTCATTTATAAAACTTTCAATTTCATTTCTACACTTTCCAATTTAGAATGAAAGGGCAGGTTTGGAGCTTGACATCGAGCACTATGTTGTCCCAGCTCCAGGTACATCTGCAAATTCAGATATGGTTTATGCGGCTAACATGGCTGCTACTCCTAGGTCCCTAAGTAATGTAGGAATGTTTTCCAAGATTGATGGATCAAGTGGGAGTGTTCTTTTTCCTCTGTATCATTTTTACTTTATAACTTCTCACACTTCCTTAGTTTCTTTCTACTTGTATTGTATCTGCTTCCCTTAAGTTTAGTTACCCAATTGGCCAACACATATAACCAAGGATAAGCAAAGGTCTAAAGACAGCTCATTCAAATTGAGATATATATATATACACATATATATACACACATATATATAATTTTTTCTTTCTTTAACCCCTTGGACAAGGATTTACAAGCAAACCATGAATAGATTAGCACTGTGATGGTAATCATGTAAATTAGAATCTTGAACATATTTATTGGAATTTAAAGTCTTTTTAAGTTTATGGTCTTGGTTATGGATTGGAGTGAGATGAAAATTTTGCATTGCACCAACTTAGGTGGGTGTAGCATACCTGCATCTTCTTACACAGGCATGGCTGTGCCGCTAACATCTCAAAGAGGTTATGGAAGTTGACCATAAAAAGTAGTTGGAAACCAGAGTGTTACAAAGTCTATCCAGGAAATTAAATAGTTACCTTAGTTGGATGTTACAAAGTCTGTTAGAACGCTATGCGAGCAGCTGCAGGAGCAGTTGCAGCTGCAGCTGTAGCAGATCAGTTGCTCGGTCTAAAAGAGGATAGGCATCTAGCGATTGTCTTGGTATTTTGCTAATATGATTTTCATATGCTTAAGGTTTGGATTGTTACATGGGTGATAAAAAATTTCCTGATTAATTTTATGATTTTCGTCAGGTTGGATTGCCTGCTCGTGGCAAAACTTTTACTGCAGCCAAACTTACTCAATATCTTCGTTGGTTAAGTCACAAGACTAAACACTTTAATGTGGAAAGGTATTTTCTCTGCATTGTTAGTCTTTATTCATTAGGTGAAATTGGGTATAAAGAAAAAGCTGCATAATTGTGTATTTTGACTGCAGTATCGAAGGCTTAAGCATGGAGTTAATCAGGTACTTTGTGGTGATGTATTATCTCCTCTTGTTTTCCATATGTTAGGAAAGCATTTAACTAATTAATAGTTTCTTTTTACAAAGAAAGAAAATATCTATATACCAGTTAGATTACAATATAAGTTGTATACTTGGAATTTATATTTTACATTTTAAAAATAGGTCATAAAATTTTTGAACCTTAATGTCTTAAATATAAACTTGTAAAATTATATTGATACGGTAAAAGTGATGGCCTGTTATTAAAGAATTTTGAAATCAAACAACTCAAAAAGAAAATGTTATTGGGAAGTTCTGAGGTTGGGATGTGGGGATGGAATATGAAAGGCAACATTGGAAAAGCCTTGATCCAGCTCACAAACATTTGTGACCAGGTTGTCACGACATATATTTGTTCAGAAGAAGAAATATATATTGTAATGCTAATGATGGATCAGTATTGACACATGGGAAAAAGCAAAATGAGACAACAGAAAAAAAAAAATGAATTGAACTTCCTCTTTTTGAGGGTTTGATTCCTTGGATATACTCTAATCTTGTGGTGAAATTTATGAAGAATAACCACCCTGATCTGTCCATATAGATTACCTGCAAAATCTAAAGTTCTTGCACGAGCAATGTACTCTTTTACATGAAACTTATTGATCTCTGTAACGACTATGTATTATTTAACCAAAATATCTCTCTCAAATGTCATTTATACGGATCTGTATTGTTGCTACATACAATTCTTTCAACATGTGCTATTGTCTAATTTCTCTTAAAAGTTGATGAAATCTGGTGTTCACAGTCATAGTTGAACATAAGGAGCATCTTGTTGGAAAATCTCATGATGCTAGGGATAAATCTTCTTTGATGTAATGAAATAATACATTAGAGCAGAAACCATATTGTTAATGCTTCATAATAAAAAATTTTCTTGAATTGCATGCACACAAAAGGATTTGCAATCTTAGGAAATTATTTGAAAAAACTAGAACTACAAAATGTAATCCAACTGCTGACTATCAAACATTGCTTCTGTTAAATCTTTCCTGGGTGGATCACTGTTAAAACATTTCAGAATGAATATGGAATGGTTATTTGATAAATGAAATGTCATTTTCTAAAACAGGTGAACAACATTAGTGGGTACGTTCCTGGGCGGATAGTATTCTTCTTGGTGTGTCTCTTTAAACTGCAATATCTTTCTTGTCTCATCTACATGGGTTGAGGCTCATGTATTATGCATGGCACATGTCTGAAAGAGTTTTGAATTCTTAATGATGGTCATGTTTTGTATGTGTTACGCCGAGGTTAAGATATTCACTTATGTATTTTGATGTTAAGCTTTTCTTTATTTAGTTATTAACATTGATTTATGTTTTTTTAGATTAAATTATTAATTTTTTTTATCATTTGCAAATATTCAGGGAATGAATAAGGTTGGAACCTATAAATGGGTCCATTCTAAAGAACACAATTGCGTCACATTCATTAATGCGAAAGCAACTTGACCTATGCGTGGTCAATCAAATATTTCACCTAATCCGTGATCACAATTTAATGTAATACAGGGGAACGGATCGTCTCCACAGGGATTGTGTGATTCACTCTTTCGTATTCTAATACAGTAAATAAAGGGGGATTTTTCTTTTATTATCTAATTAAAATAAAATAACAAAGAAATTAAATTAAAGGGGAACTGACTATCAAGGGGATGTCTGGCTCAAGGGATGATGCAATTATGACACTTGTGTTTTATCATAAATTCAATAAATTTAATTCTTATTAAAGTATCAATAAATTGGTTATAGTTATCAACAAGCTCTGACAACCAATTTTTTCTTACCGTGTAGGTAATTAAGGTACGACCGTTAACTAACCCTAATTAAGCAAATAAACCTAAGTGCGCCCATAAGAATATTGCGTAACCGCATTCCAATCTAGAAAAACCCAATTCAAAATAATTACTACCTAAGAGGAGCAATTAGATTTGATTGTCTAACCCCCGGGAAGGAGCTATTCAGCCCGGTTGTCACCTATTCAAGTGCGAATACAATTACGGATATCCTACATGAATTGACTTTAGATTATCAGACTAATTTAAATATCAGTACCAAAATATTCAATCAATCTAACAATCACAAACGCTATTATCAGAATTAGACAAATATTGATAATCAAAAAGAACTTTTATAAAGAAAATCAAGAATCTCCAAACCAAAAGAACCAAAACATTATCACCCCTCAAACTAGAAAAGTATCTACTCCATAATCAAATAACAAAAAACAAAAGAGAAAGATAAAGTCACAGAGGGAGGGGGAAATCTTCTCTGTCGGTTTGCTCCTGCGCGATCTATGAATCTTTCAGTCTCCTGTTCCTGTGCGTTTCTGCCCTAGCCGTCCTCTCCAGCCAAATAGGCATGTCTTTTTCTCTTTTTATTTGATTTTTGCCCTAATTATTTTGTAGATGGGCTTTTGGGTCTTTAATTAATTTTATTTCTTTTTTTTCTGCCAATTATGCCAAATTTAATATTTGCCCTCTGCACACAAAAATAAACAATTCGCATATAAATTAGGTAGAATCCAATCAAAATCACCCAAATATCGCATATGATATGAATATAAACCGCATGCGATTTTTAACTATCAATTCTCCCCACACCTAGATCATGCTTGCCCTCAAGCATAAATTCGAAATAAGCCAAAGAAATCGCAGACAACTCGATATGACAAGAGGATCCAACACAACCAATTCAATCCAAATTTTAACACATCAAGCCAAGTCAACCTCACAAGATAAAGTGTATTCGCACATGCTCTCTGAAGGAATTAAGTGTATAATTGGCTCAACACTCAGGTAGTGCAACAAAAGATTATCCTATAGGCTTGAGTAAAAATCAAATCTCCCTTAAGATATTCGAATCTAGCATAGAGAATCAAATGGACTTTCAATAAGGGTTGTAACGGGGCTTATGGTCAGGGTAGGAAAAAGGATATACAAGGGCTAAAATATGTCAGAAAAGAATACAGTAAGAACACGATGCTAGCACATGAAGAACAAATCGGCATAAACAATGAAATCCTTATTTTATTCACTGCCCAAACTTCAATAATATAATTAAATAAAATACTTCAAGATGATTATTTTAGTATTCATTTAGTATTTATTTTATATATATTCTTTTTTTTTCTTTTTTTTTTCTTTTTTTTTTTTCTTTTTTATTTTTTTCTTTTTTTTTTTATTTTTTATTTTTTTATTTTTTTTGGCTTTTGCCTTTATATATATATATAAATATACCTACACTACCCACAGTTATTCCTTCATACTATGACTTATTCGTACCCAAAGTTCTTCTTTAACTAGTGCCGAAGAAATAAAGTGCATCATAATATGGATTTAAAGTAATTCTTTCTAACATAGGGTTCAAATGGAGAAGGCTTAATCAAAAGAAGGGTATGAGGCTAAAAGAAAGGTTATTATAAAAGAAAAATAGGCTAAGAAGGCTCAAATGGGCTAACTAGGGGAATATATTGTGCTGGGTAATAAAGAAAGGCTTAATGGGTTACCTAATGCCCTTATCATTTTCAAAACGCAAGACTCAATAGTTGCAAGTTCAACGTGCATAATCACTCAAGTTCTAGGTCATCTAATTGAGCACTACAAATGACACATGAAAGAAATTTTCAAAAGCTTGAATATGTGCAATTTATTTTCTAATGTGACTTTCGGAACATAGACTCAAATTCTCACAGGGTTCAAACGTCAACTTGACTCAACATATCACCAATCAAATGTCATTAGTCATGCCAAACTAACATATCACACAAATCACCTTTGACTCACTTCAGACTAATCTCAAAAACATGCGAAAAGACAGCAAATCAGGCATAAAAATAGCACAAAAATGAAAATTTTGCCCAAAAATTTGCATAACTCTCCCCACACCTAAAGTATGCATTGTCCTCAATGTAAAGAAAGCAATAAAAGAAGAGAGGAACTTCCCTGGAGTCCATAGGGGGTGTAGTAGTTGGGAGCTTTGTTAACACCTCTTCATTTGATCGTGATTTTTAGGGAGGCTTGAAGTTCTCCTGAGTCTTGCGAAAACAACTAACCAACGCAAGCCATTTAGAGAAACGGATGTGGTGATCGGCGATGACTGAGCAGGGGAGAAAGAAGTCGACGGCACCGGAGATTGGAGGCGGCAACTAAACCAAAAAAAACTATCAAAAGTGTATTAGCAATTAAACAATAAAATTAAATAAAATTAAATAAAGCAATTAAATGATTTTGAGTTGTTTCCCAAAAAGCGCTTTTCTTTATAGTCTTTGAGCTAGACTTCGCCTCGCATCAATTCTGAACATCAAAATCCGCAACGGGTGCCGACTTTATAGGATCAAGTGAGGGTCCCTCGTGGTATAATTTGAAGCGATGTCTATTGGCCACACACTTTTTCTTCGGCTTAGAATTTTGATTCTCCTTATGACATTTTTTCGCTGCCAGCAATGGTGATCCCTTGGGAATCCATCTTCACTTTTCGACAATCTTTTTTCTTTTCTTACTCTCTCCAGTTGGTCTTTTCTCTAACTGTTTTGTCAACACAGTTCTTCGTTTATTCTCATTACCAACTTCACAAGTTTCCTGCACCACAGAATTAATAACATTAATTGCATATAACGATTCAGATTCAACAGGACATTTGACGGATTAAATATATTGAAATTAAATTCTTCTCCATCAAACTCCAAGCTGAGTGTGTCTTTTTTAACATCTATCTTTGTTCCTGCAGTGCACATAAAAGGTCTTCCTAACAAAAGAGGCGGTGGATTAAAACAATGTGCATCGTGCATATGAAGAATATAAAAATCAACAGGAAAAATTAATTCATTCACTTGAACTAATACATCTTCTATCATACCATCGGGATAAGCATGGGTTCGATCAACAAGTTGAATAATAATTCCTGTTTCTTTTAGAGGCCCTAGATTTAAAGAGTCGTATATTGATCGAGGCATGACATTAACAGCAGCTCCTAGATCTAGCATAGCCTTAGTTATCTCAGTTTTTCCAATCTTACAAGGGATAGAAAACATATCTGGATCACCTGTTTTAGGTGGTACCTTTCTTTTGATAACAACAGAAACGTTCTCACCCGCTATAATATGCTCGTCCCCTCGCAATTTTCTTTTGTTGGTGCACAGTTCTTTCAAAAACTTTGCGTACTTGGGGATCTGGTTGATAGCTTCCAGGAGCGGGATATTAAGTTCCACCTTCTTGAATATTTCCATCATCTCTTTTCGTTTGTTTACCTTTTGTGGTTTCTTCAACCTGTCAGGAAAATGAGCTGATTTAGTTTCAGTAGGAAGAAGAGAGTTAGGAAGTACCTTTTCGTGAAGTTCAACTTCTTTTTCAATCTCCATCTCAATCTGATCCTCCTTTTGTTCCTTTGAGATAGGAGATGGACCTTCCAATTCCTTTCCGCTACGAAGAGTTATAGCACTCGTATTCTTTGGATTAGGCCGGGAAGAACATTCAATCTTTGTATCACTGCAGATAGTGATGGCGCTGACATTTGCTAGATTTGGCTCAAGCTGAGCAGGCCACTTTCCTCTTTCACGTAGCTCCTTCACCTCCTATGACACTTGATTGATCTGACCTTGTAACTTGTCGACAGTTGACTTCATCTCTTGTTGGAATTGCAGGGTACTGGTAGCCATAGACTTCACCATGTCTTCCAAAGATGGACTAAAGTTGCTTGTGGGTGCTTGGGGTGGCTGTTTCTCATAGAAACGAGGTTGTTGCATCTGTTGCATAGCTCCGAATGGTTGATGAGCATTACCCTGCTGTGCGTTTCCATAACGCAGGTTCGGATGATCTCTCCAGCCTCGATTGTAAGTGTTGGAGTACGGATTGTACGTTGGAGGTCTATTCATACCGTAGTTTGCAGTGTTCACATCCACTGCACATTCTTCTTGGAGGGTCGGACATGCATCTGTAGGGTGTCCTGCACTCGTGCATATTCCGGGTTGGATTTTCCACGACCATCTTGCGAACGAAGCTCGTCAACTCAGAAAGTTGTTGCTGCATCGATTGGATGGCATGATCGTTGTTGTTTCCGCTCATATGTCCAACATCTCTTGAACCAAATTGCTGCGTGTTTTCAGCCATCCTCGCAATAAGATCCCAAGCTTGTGCCGGCGTCTTATTTACTAAAGCTCCACCACTTGCAGGATCGATAATGCTCCTGTCCATCAACGACAAACCATCATAAAAGTATTGAATCAATAATTGAGGGGGAATTTGATGTTGTGGACATTTAATGATAAGCTTATTGAATCGCTCCCAATATTCATGGAGCGTTTCACCTGATTGTTGCTTGATGCCACATATCTCCTTCCTCAGGATCGCAGCTCTGGAAGCGGGAAAGTACTTCTCCAAAAATTTCTTCTTCATGTCGTTCCACGTGTCGATGCTTCCAGGTGGGAAATAGTAGAGCCAATCCTTTGCAGTATCTTTGAGTGAGAATGGGAAGGCTCTGAGTTTGATATGTTCGTCAGTAACACCTGGTGGTTTCATGCTGGAGCACACTACGTCGAACTCTTGCAAGTGTTTGTGAGGTTCTTCACCTGCAAGTCCATGAAAAAAATGCAATAAATGAATTAATTCAGATTTCAGTTCAGAGCAACAATGTTATTGAGTGTTGGAAAGTTAATGCATAAGGGCTGTTGCGCCAAGTCGGGAGCAGCCAACTCCCTTAAAGTGCAGGTATCCTCAGCCATGACAGTCTCTTGATCACTCTCAGAGTTGCTAGAGCTAGAGATTTTGAGGTGGTTTCCCAGCTTCGCAACCTGAGCAGCTTTTCGTTGCTTGGCTTCCTTTCGTAGCTTTCGCTCAACCTTCTCGATCTCAAGATTAAATATCAGTTCACCTGTACGAGAAGAACGGGACATAAACAAGAGGATAAGTTAAAATTACACAAAAGAGTAAAACAAAGCGCCAATCCCCGGAAACGGCGCCAAAAATTGACATGTCGCGAGGTCAATCAAATATTTCACTTAATCCGTTATCACAATTTAATGTAATACAGGGGAATCGTCTCTACAGGGATTGTGTGATTCACTCTTTCGTATTCTAATGCAGTAAATAAAGGGTGATTTTTCTTTTATTATCTAATTAAAATAAAATAAGAAAGCAATTAAATTAAAGGGGAACTGACTATCAAGGGGATGCCTGGCTCAAGGGATGATACAGTTATGACACTTGTGTTTTATCATAAATTCAATAAAGTTAATTCTTATTAAAGTATCAATAAATTGGTTATAGTTATCAACAAGCTCTGACAACCAATTTTTACTTACAGTGTAGGTAATTAAGGTACGACCGTTAACTACCCCTAATTAAGCAAATAAACCTAGGTGCGCCCATAAGAATATTGCCTAACCGCATTCCAATCTAGAAAAACCCAATTCAAAAAAATTATTACCAAAGAGGAGCAATTAGATTTGATTGTCTAACCCCCGGGAAGGAACTATTCAACCTGGTTGTCACCTATTCAAGTGCGAATACAATTACGGATATCCTACCTGAATTGACTTTAGATTATCAGACTAATTTAAATATCAGTACCAAAATATTCAATCAATCTAACAATCACAAATGCTATTCTCAGAATTAGAAATATTGATAATCAAAAAGAACTTTTATAAAGAAAATCAAGAATCTCCAAAACAAAAGAACCAAAACATTATTACCCCTCAAACCAGAAAAGTATCTATTCCATAATCAAATAACAAAGAACAAAAGAGAAAGATAAAGTCATAGAGGGAAGGGGAAATCTTCTATGTCGATTTGCTCCTGCGCGATCTATGAATCTGTTAGTCTCCTGGTCCTGTGCGTTTCTGCCCTAGCCGTCCTCTCCTGCCAAATAGGCGTGTCTTTTTCTCTTCTTATTTGATTTTTGCCCTAATTATTTTGTAGATGGGCTTTTGGGCCTTTAATTAATTTTATTTCTTTTTTTCTGCCAATTATGCCAAATTTAATATTTGCCCTCTGGCACACAGCAAATAAAAAATTCGCATATAAATTAGGTAGAATCCAATCAAAATCACCCAAATATAGCATATGATATGAATATAAAACGCATGCGATTTTTAACTATCACAACTAAAGTAGCTGTGAGTTGATTTCCATTATCGTTTTCATAATTCATTCTAAATAAATATATTTTATTGTTTAAATTTTGTTGGGAATGGATTATTTATATTGTTAGATAAGCTCATTGTGAATTTTTTCTTGTAATGCATTCTTTATTATTAAGTTGCCGATGAATTTTAGTGGGATTCTTATCATAGCTTAAATTTTTATTTGGCGTTATTATTGTGTTGGTTGGCATAGGTTTATTATTCATCTTTAGGTTGGTTGGTGGGTTAAATTGATGTTATTATTATGTTATGATTCATTCTAAATAAAAATATTTTATTGTTTAAATTTTGTTGGGGAATGGATTAATTATATTGTTAGACAATCTCATTTTGTATTTTTTGTTGTCATTTAGTGAGATTCTTATCATAACTTAAATTTTTAGTTAAATTGGACATATATTTTACGTTAATTTTTTTTTGATGTTGTAAATTAAGTTGAACCAAAAGTAACCGTTTATTGATCATAATATACTTCAAGAGCAGAAATTTTGTTTTGTATTGATTGATTGAGCTCATGATTAAAGGATTAACATAAGGGACTAAAAGTTATAGACCTATTGAAATATTGACTTTAAATGGATTTGGTTGCCTCCTTCCGGGCATTTATTGGGGCATGTAAATTTTAGTGTTGCCACCATATTGTTGTTGTTCTTATTGTTATTATTATTATTATTATTATTATTATTATTATTATTATTATTCATTTGTATCAAATATTTTTATGATTTTGTTTGGAAAACTAACATTGTATTCATCTAAATTAATTTCAGGACAAGGTGGATGTTGAAGCACACCTGACTCAACAAGGAAATACGTCATATGATTAGGATAATGTGTTCCTCATTGTAGTACCCCGTGACAAGAAAAATTGCATTTATGGGTTGGGGTCATTAGGTGCGACTGTTCCTCCTCGACCATCATCCTTCTGCAGCGATGGTCGTACTCCGGGCACATTTATTCTTGAGGAACGATTGACAAAGATAGAGTGTGAGTTGGGTGAGTTGAGGACAGATCTTGCCGAGGGACGTAGTCAATGAGAAGTGATACAACGTGTCACAAATATGGAGAACCAACAACGAGCCATCTACGATTTGAACTTGACCATTATGGAGCAATTACGACGTATGGGAGCACTATCAATTCATAGGTCCGAACCCGATTCAGATGGTGGTAGTGCTCCGAAATCATGATATTTTATCATTACAAGTGTTTTAGTTACGACCTTAGTTGTTTTGGTATGATAATATGGTAACTTGAATTAGATCTATACATTTTTCTGATATGTGCTACTTGCGGTATTCACACTAAATACATTGTATTTTAGGTCTATTGATATTGTTTAAATTTGAAAATTTTATATGATTTCAACTAGTTCTTGTATCTTTGAGAAGGTATATTAATCGAATCATTAAATTTATTGATTATGGAGGATTGAATTAATATTTTTTAGATAGATATTAAAAAAAAATTGACAAGAAACGAGCAAAAGAAATTGTAAAAATTGCGATAGAATTAGCAATAGTTATATTCTCTCGCAATTTGCTATTCTATTTGCAAAAACTTGCAACAAAACTAGCAATAGTTATATTATCTCGCAATTTGCATTGCAAAAACTTGCAACAGAATTAGCCACTGTAGTATAATTCCGTAACAAAAAATTGCGATAGAAATGACTGTCACTAATTCTATTGCAATTCTCTGCAACGGAATATTTTAATTGTTACATTGGGTTACTACAATAATATTTACTACAACTTCCACTTGGTTGCAAATTCCGTTGTAATTAAAAGTTGCGACAAAAATTTTGTCAGTTGTGACGGAATTTTTCCGTAGTAATTTGTAATTTTTTTTGTAGTGTTGCCTATTAGCTGGTAATCAAGTTTGTTAGAGGCTGGATATTGAGGATAAGATTCTCGAAGAGATTGTACAGCATGCAAAGATAAAAGGTATCTTTGAAAAGATCATCCACCAGCCTAAGAAAGCCAACTTGTCCTATCATTGGGCATCAAAAGTTGAGAATATTCCCGGAAGTATTAAGGTACATCTTGAATGAACTGGAAAAAACACATTGAGTTGATTGATTCATTTTTATTTGTGATTTGTTTGGTTGATTAGTTAGAAGAAATAAAATGTGAGTGGTTGTATAGTTTCCTAAAGAAGTTTGGAGCTTTTTATTTTTTATTCCAAGGAAAAAATAGAATATGGTGGATTATAGTTCATATAGATTCTTATGAATATTTATTATTTTTTGACCAGTTATTAGTTTCAGATTGCTATATTGCATACATATACACAAGATTGTATAGGTATATGATAATTTCTGAAATTTTCATTTCTTCCGACAATTCTTCATTGAAGATTGCTCTAGGTTTGCACTAATTAATGTGTTTGATTGGATAGATTATAAGTATATTAGAATTGTAAGAATATTCTCGTAAGATTTTTAATAGTGATCATTTATAACTATGACGGAAAGTTTGTAAACAATTTTATATATAACCACAAGTAGTTATGGATTATAGGTATTTTACCAATTTTCATGGACAATAGAAAGTTTCACAACTAATTATATAATGGCCGGATCGACTTATATATTGTTGAATACAATGCATATAGTTTCGAGTTGTAAATCAATTGCAACTATATACATATATCTAGGGTCTGGATGCAAGTTCATAATGGTTTTCGGTGCTCGAAGCTTCCTTGTTCCACCGTATGTCCTCCCTTTATGATATTGACCAGAAAAGGCACCTTTGAAGGAATCCTAGTCGAAGTTATGAGCGCAGTGCATAGTGACCAGAAGCCCCATCACTTTTAGGAACACACAATGTACTAAGGCCTACTTGATATTCAGTCAAAAGAAATCACGAATCCAATGGAGTGCATTGAGTACGTCAATGAAGCTTCTTCTATAAACGATTATGAAGAAAGGAGGTGTTGGGAAAATGACAAAATAACATTGTTATTAAAAATTGCGGAAAAGGATCAAATTCTTTATTAAGAAAATCGAACAAAAACTTTAACTCGTTTTGGCTAGGCTCAGCCCCTAACCACTCGAAACACAAAATATACACATACACACTCGAATCGCGACTAACACAAGCACACCGGCCACAACACCACGACTCACAACCACAAAACACCCCCACAGTAAAAGTAACAGGCATACAGGAAACAGAAACCACAAGCCTATAGTTGAACGAGCCCCTTTCGGCTACGAACAACACACACACAGGGGGAAACAGGTGCCAAAGGAACTCCACAAACACAGGAGGAAAGGCACTGCACAAACAACCGCCGTGAACCGCCGTCGGACGGGAGAGTGAGAGAAAAAGTCGAGAGAGAGAGAGGCTAGAGAGGGTAAGCTTTAGAGAGAGAGTGAGTAATGTATCGAATGAATTGTTCCTCTCACATTCCAAGTATATATATATATATACAGGTCGAATGGACGGACAGGATCAAAGCCCCAGATCGGACGGCCAGGGGCGTGGCTAAGAAAAAGACGCGGATCCTAGTCTGGTCGGATCAGGACGTGGGTCAAGGTCGGGAGGTATAAAGTCGGACAGTGGGTATGACTTCGGACGGTCCAAGCCGGGACTAAATTGGGTGGACGGTCGAGGTCGGACGAAGTCGGACGGATGGTCGAAGTCGGACTAAGTCGGACGGATGGTCGAAGTCGGACGAAGTCGGACGGATGGTCTAAGTCGGACGAAGTCGGGCGGACGGCCTAAGTCGGACGAAGTCGGGCGGACGGTCCGACTCAGGACAGATCTCTGAATCAGGAAGTAGTCAAGCGGTCGAAGTCGGACAGGTCGCTAAGTCGGGACGCAGCCGGACGGTCAGTGAGGTCGGGACATGGGCTAGGCCCGAATGCGCTCGGGCTGCGAGACGAGTGTGTATTTGTGTATTTACTTTTGGGGTGGACCATAAGGACAAAAAATCCAACAAATCCTCCACCTGACTTTTGGTCCGAATGGTCGGGGAACATCATCGCCTATTTTATTTCATTTTATATTACCTTATACCTGCAACATAGATACATAATGTTAGTGAAAGAACATTAAATTAGCCTACCAACTACACTAAGTAGTATAAGACTAATCAAAAGTATCACAATGTATATATCTCATACAAGATACGAATTTACTTGCAGGCAAAACCTTAGTACCCATATCAGCTGGGTTATATTCAGACGGGATCTTCTCTAATTTTACTATGTCTTTAGATACTATGTCCCGAATGAAATGAAAACGTACATCAATGTGTTTAGTTCTATCATGAAACATAGGATTTTTACACAATTGAATTCCGGACTGGCTATCCGAAAATACAGTGACAGTATGTTGCAAATAACCAATTTCAGTAATTAAACCCTTTAACCACACTGCTTCTTTTAAAGCTTCAGTTATTGCTACATACTCAGATTCAGTTGTGGATAGAGCAACAATATGTTGTAATTGTGATTTCCAGCTAACACTAGTTCCACACAAGGTAAAAATATATGAAGTAGTACTTTTCCTAGTGTCTCTATCATTAGCATAATTTGAATCTACAAAACCCTCTAACTATATATTTTTAGTATATTTACCAAAAACTAAACCCACATTGATTGTACCAGATAAGTATCTAAACACCCACTTTAAGGCATGCCAATGTTCTAAGCCTGGATTTGACATATACCTACTTAAACAACTAATTGCATAGGCTAAGTCAGGCCTAGTGCTAACCATTAAGTACATTATGGAACCTATTGCATTAGAGTATGGCACATGCTTCATATATTCACAATCAGATTCAGATTTTGGACATTGGTCCCTACTTAACACAAAATTAGAAGCCATTGGAACAGATACAGATTTTGCATCACACATGGAAAATTTTTTAATAATTTTCGAAATATAGGAGGATTGATTTAAAAACAGTTTGAAATTTTTTCTATCTCTAATAATTGTCATGCCTAATATCACCTTGGCATCCCCCAACAATTTCATGTCAAAATTATCACACAAACACTTAATCACATTATCAATCAGCTTTATACATGGACTTATAATCAACATATCATCCACATAAATGAGAAGAAAAATAGGTTGGCTTTTAACAGTTTTAAAGTATAAACAATAATCAAATTTGCTTTTAGTAAACTCAAGATTTTTCATACAATTATCAAATTTGATATTCCATTGTCTAGGTGACTGTTTTAAACCATACAAAGACTTGTTTAACAAACAAACATGATTAGTTTCATTTTTATCAATAAAACCTTCAGGTTGTTTCATATAAATCTTCTCATCTAATTCACCATGTAAAAAGGCAGTTTTAACATCTAATTGCTTTAATTCCCAGTCATAAAAGGCAACTAAAGCTAACATGATTCTCACAGTGGTAAATTTGACAACAGGGGCAAAAATTTCATTATAATCTATTCCCTCCTTTTGAGTAAAACCTTTGGCTACTAATCTTGCTTTAAACCTAATTCCACTATCTTCTTGTTTAACCTTATAAATCCATTTACAATCAACAAGAGAACAATTAGGTGGTTTAGGGACTAGACTCCAAGTTTTATTATTATATAAAGAATCCATTTCTTCTTTCATAGCTTTTAACCAATCTATTTTATTTTCAGAATTTATGCCTCCCTAAAGGTCTTAGGTTCACTACCATCTAAATTCTCAAACACACTAAAAGCTAACGAAGTTAAATCAAAATCACCAAACCTACTAGGTAATCTAGGGACTCTCATATCCCTATCTCTAGTCAATTGATAATTTTCTAGTTCATTTTGATCATTTCTATCAAAATCAGAATTATTATTATTCTCAACAGAATTATCAATTTCAGGCACATTGGAATTCATTTCAGAATTATTTTCAGGAGTAATTTCATTATGAATATCAGACAGACTATCATAATTTCCATCATTTCTAATATCAACAGAGTTATGCTCAGAATTATACTCCACCTCATTTGGTGTACCAATTGAATCTACATTTTCAACATTTGATTCAGATTTATCCCACACAGATTTTTCAACATTTAAGCATGGCATTTCATTTTCATTAAACACAACATCTCTACTAATAATGGCCTTAAAACCGGGCCTAGACCTTAACCAAAGTCTATACCCCTTAACTCCCTCCGGGTACCCTAGAAAAACACACTTTTCAGCTCTAGGGTCTAACTTGTCATTATTAGTACGTATAAAGGCAGAACACCCAAAAACCCTAAGGTTTGAAAAATCAACATTTTTACCGGTCCACTTAAATTCAGGACACAAACCATTTAATGGAATCGAAGGTGATCTATTTATTATGTAAG